TCTGTGTCTGTGTGTTGCTGGCAGATGAAGGAGTGGTTTCAGCACTTTGGCTGCGTCCAGATCCACCACCGCACGCAACCGTTTGCGTTTGCGGTGCTGTCGTTGCTGCTGCTGCTGCGAAGGAAGTAATGTAATGCGATGTGATGTTGTGATGTGACAACGCGGCACTTTGCGAACTTGTGTGCGTGCACACAGCCAAATTATTGCTGTGGATGTTCGTTTGGTGGTGCTCCCCTGTGTGTGTGTGTGTGTGTCTCTCTCTCTCTCTCTCTCTCACACACACACACACACACACACATGTACACACACGTACACATGTGCTGTACTCACAAGGTCGCCGCCACCCATGATTGGTTGTCGCTGTTGTCGCTGTTGTTGAAGGGGAACAGGAGGAGACACAGCGAAAGAGAATGAATGGCTGTTGTTGTTGCACGATCGCAGCAGTTGTGTGTGTGTGGTTTTGTGGGGTTGTTTTGAACAGAGCAAAATTTCCCTCTCGCAACAAGCAAGGTTGTCTCCAATAGTATAGTGGCTAGTATCTCCGCCTGTCACGCGGAAGACCAGGGTTCGATTCCCTGTTGGAGAGCATCTGTTCTTTTTGTCCCCTTTTCTTTTTGCTGTTTATTCCACTTGCCCTTCCTTCCTTTTAGCCTTTTGCTTCTCCTCTCGAGTCCTCTGTTTCATTCCCCAGCTGGCTGCCTCCTAGTCTTCACTCCCCCACAACAGCACAGTCATACAACAATGGACCATGTTGTATCTTGTGTCTTGTATTTTCCGCTGTATTGTGGTTGCCTGGCACTCGCCCCGTGTTCGCCTCTTGTCCTCTCTGTGGATGTGACATCTTGCGGAAATGAAGAAATGACAAGATACTCTCTCTTTCTTTGGTTCTTTACACTGGCCTGCCCACGACGGGAGATAACAGCCGTGGATGAAGGGATGAGCACGGAGAACAGAGCAGATTCTAGAGAAGGTAAGGGCAAGAAACTCAGAAAGGAATGTGCTGTGGCACGGGTCATTGCACAAACAAGATGAGGAGATGGAGCAGGGAGAGTTAACAGACCACAGCCCGACAGCCCATCCCACAGCACCACGAAGCGTGGCACAATCAACATGTTGTCCACAACAGAACGCAAAGACATAATAACAGGGCGCATGCATGCATGCATCTATACATGTGCACTGTGCACACGAAAGCACGTGTGCATGCGCGTCCTAATAGCAACGACTCAGCCCAACTCGACGCTAGGAGCAGTCGAGCGCTTCTGACGATACAGCGTCAGCGGCAGTGGCACGCGTGAACGTGTCCAAGCACCAGTCGAGTCGCGTCTGTTTGTGCTGTGCACCAGCTGAATGGCTTTGGTCTCCGGGACGGCTGGCTCGCGAAGCGCCATAGCAGTGGCCAACCCAATCGCCCATGTGCCACATTGTTGTCGACGGGGTGGACGGGCTCACGTCCTTCTGGCCATACCCGTGTGAGTTCATCGCCCTGTCAAGTGCATCACAACAACAAAGGGCAATGCGGTGCGTGTGAACGTGAGATGTTGTTTGTATGTTGAAGATCAGACATTGCTACTTGCAGCAATGCGAGCTACAGACCTGCAGTGTCTGCACTGAGCAACATGATACGACACACACACACACACACATACACACACACACACACACACACACACACACACACACACACAGGACACACACACACACACACATGTGCACTGTGCACACGAAAGCACGTGTGCATGCGCGTCCTAATAGCAACGACTCAGCCCAACTCGACGCTAGGAGCAGTCGAGCGCTTCTGACGATACAGCGTCAGCGGCAGTGGCACGCGTGAACGTGTCCAAGCACCAGTCGAGTCGCGTCTGTTTGTGCTGTGCACCAGCTGAATGGCTTTGGTCTCCGGGACGGCTGGCTCGCGAAGCGCCATAGCAGTGGCCAACCCAATCGCCCATGTGCCACATTGTTGTCGACGGGGTGGACGGGCTCACGTCCTTCTGGCCATACCCGTGTGAGTTCATCGCCCTGTCAAGTGCATCACAACAACAAAGGGCAATGCGGTGCGTGTGAACGTGAGATGTTGTTTGTATGTTGAAGATCAGACATTGCTACTTGCAGCAATGCGAGCTACAGACCTGCAGTGTCTGCACTGAGCAACATGATACGACACACACACACACACACACACACACACACACACACACACACACACACACACACACACACACACACACACACACACACACACACATGGTGCCCACCTCGGCCCGAGGGAGGCGACGTGGTCCGCATACCGCTCCAGCAATACGCTCATTGGAGTCTGAATGGGGAAGTGCGATCCAAACAGTCAAGTGACACGCACACATGATGGTGGTGCGAGAGTACGACATGAACGCAAGTCACCTCACGAACTGCGGTCGTGTGCATGTGTGTGCGTGTGTGTGTTGTGCGTGCGTGCGTGATGTGTGTGTGTGTGTGTGTGTGTGTGTGTGTGTGTGTGTGTGTGTGTGTGTGTGTGTGTGTGTGTGTGTCAGTGCGCTTTGGGCAGACCTGGTCTGAGCGAGTAATGGGGTCGGTCAACGCCGCGTCATCTATCTTCGATTCCCCGTTCTAGCAGTTGCCAAGTCGCGTGAAGGAACAGTTAGTCAGAGCGCCTGTGTAATATCTGCCGCACTGCACCACTGGCGAGAGCTTCGCTCGTCCACCCACACAATCACAACTTGTGCAGACAACACGCTGATCTGACTCACCGCGATCGGGAACTTCTGAAGGAATTCCTTGGCTCTGACCGGGTATGAGTAGTGACGACGAAACGTCTCACTTGCCCTGGCACTCATCAGGTGGTCCGCGCGCACCCACGCCCGGGAGAACGGGGTCAGGACACCCGGCGATGGAACACTTGCCCTACAGCCAGCAGCACGGAGAGCAAGTCTCAGTCGTGAGCAATTTAGCTGTCAACCAGTGGATGCAGTCCAGTGCAGTGGGTGCAGTCCAGTCTGAACAAGCAGTGTCGCACACGTGCATGGAGCAATACGAGCGTGCAAATGCCTGCATGCACACACACACACACACACGCGCGCGCGCGCACACACGCACACACACACACACACACACACACACACACACACACACACACACACACACACACACACACACACACACACACGCACACACACACACACACGCACAGTATCACATACGCAAACACTTCTTACACGGATGCCTGCAAGCAGGCACAACGCACGTCAATGCGCGCACATGCACGCACCTGATCCAATCAAGCATGAAGCGTCTCCCAACTGCGTCGTTGCGAACGATAAAGACCCCAGCATTCACAGTCCAGACCTTGTCGGGCAGCTTCTCCACTGGCACATGCAGCCAGTGGTCTGGCTCAGCGTTCTCCTGCTCCTCATCGAACATCTGCGTGATGCTGTCGCAGGACGTGACAGATGGAGGCGGCGCCACGTGCGCGTGCTTGCAGTCGGCGATGAACTGCACAAGGCGCTGGAGCTCCTGTGGCGGGAGTTTCATGCCTTGGAATCGGGTGGAGACCGGGTGCAGCGACACCAGCACGGATGCGTGGGGATGGCGTGCCAGCACGTCCTCCACGCGGATGTCGAGGTTGGTGTGAAACGCGTCCAAGTCCGTGAACATGATCGCCTCGAGGGAGCTGCTTTGTGGAGAAACGAACATGTACTCCACCACAGACGCGCCCTTGAGCCAGGACCCCGAGAGACGAAGTCTCGAGTAGATTTGCTGTGCATGGGATGCGTTGTGTGCTGCGCGGTTGGCGGTTCGATGCAGCAGCTCGTCCACCTCGTCATCCGTGCTGGTGATGCCCCCAAGTGTGTATGCGTACCCGTGCCTATCAGCATAAGCCTTCATGTTTGCACGCTTGGCGTCAACGAGCCGCGTGGCAGGGTGCTGGAACGTAAAGTGGCCGTAAGAGATGAGTGCGACGGCAGGCCCGTCTTGCTGTGGTTGCTGCTGCCCTTGTTGGCGACGCTGGCTTTGTCGGCGGCGCTGTCCTTGTTCAGTTGGCCGTTGTTGTGAGCGCCGTTCACCAGCACTGGCGTGGCTGCCGGCGTTGCTCGCACTCCTCTCATACACAAAGCTACCCTGTCCTGTGTGCGCAAGTGGCGCCCGAGCCACCATCACATCGCTTGCAGCCCGCTTCAGGCTCAGCGCCAGCCACCCAAGGTAGATTGCGATGCACACTGCCACCCCAACACTCATCACATTCCCTCGCATCGTTGTGTTGTTTTGTCGTCTCTCAGAAAGAAAGAATGCTCTTCCAGGTTCGTTTTGCTTGCAGGCAAACACACACGAAAAGTCGTTCCCACGAATCAAATCATGTCACACACGTGGCGGCAGTGCAGGGAAGCAGGCAGCGAGCAGGTTGTGGTGGGGACGACGGCAATCACGTTCCGCCGCCATGACAGCACGCAGAACCGGCGGCACAAACGTGTCCGGCTGCCGCGAGGGCTGCAATTCTACACTCTGCTGCAGATCACCTGTGTCCATGACCCTGAAATTCGACAGCGAGGAGAGCACACGGCCTTGGGGTAAGTGTCTGCGTCACGACAACCCAGCAACGGCAAACACACCACACACACTGTTCTGCACACGCCCGCTGCTCTGCATACACGCCATACACATGTAAGTGCACAACACGCACACACACACACACCACACACACGCACACACGCACACAAAACGTACAGCACAACGGCAGCAAGAGTGGCGTTGGTGAAGGGCGGTGAAAGTGCCTGCACATGCTGGAGACAAGTGGCTGACAGCTCGCTCAGACCCTGGAGGAGGTGGCGCGGAAGTGGTTGCTGACCGCACTCTGCACAGTGCACCCCCACAGCAACAGAAACACGGTCGTCCTCGTTGCAGTCGCCCCATGCCGCGCCAACCACTCCAACATCAGCGGTCCACCCTGCAAGCACACGCGCTGCCACTGGAGCAAGCGAACGCATTTCGCGCCACTGCCCAGCATTGTGGGAAGTGGTGCTTGCACGTTTCCCTGCAGACACCCTGCACTGTAGCGCCCACACCAGCAGCCGCAGCGGAGCAGTCGTCCCCGCGAACGATGGACACGCGCGCACAGCATCAACAGCACCCGAGCGCTTCTTGCCGCCCTGCTGCTGTTGCTTGTGTGCCGCCACCACCGCGTCGGCCGCAAACGCCAGCACATGCGCATACCACATGCTGTCAAACTTGCCACCATCAAGTTGCGCGCACGCGTGAATCAGCAAGTCGATGCCATGCTCCCTGCCACCGTTCGCCAGCCGCTGAGCGTGGACGATCACACGCTGCGTACAGATCAACAGTGCCGAGGACAAGCATGAGATCACGGACACGACAACAGCGCCAATGGTAGTAAACATAACAACTGGCCCGCTCAGAGAACAGGCCGATAGCTCAGCATGAGCAGGCGTGGGCACAGGAAGGCACGTGTGCGTTTCACACATGTACACAGTCCAGGTGAACACGCTCACCTCCACTGGCATCAGTGCTTCTACCGCTTTGGGAGACAAGGCCTCGCTGTCTGAAGGGCTGCCCAACAGCGGGAGGAAGAAAGCAGCAATCTCCCGCATGGTGGCCGACCTACACATGCACGCACGCACACAGATGTACACACGGGACACGATGAATGGGAACGGCACACCTCAGGCATGCTGCAATGGCTCGTTCACACACAGTTACAGTGACAGCGATGGGGGCTCAATTTGCACACCGGCTACATGTCAACCAACCACGCAACAAGAAAGGCGGTACGAGCGACAGAGCAGTCACACACACACACACATACACACACACACACACATACACAATGTATGCTGCACCTGCGCTTTGCGAGATGGCGGCACACAGCGGCGAGCTGCAGGGCGATGTCATCATGGGCTTGAGCGCCACCAGTGCCATCACCCGGTGGGGTGTCCATGCGTCCGTCCCCAAGCAGTGCCGCGCACAGAGCAGTGCAAGGCACACGCCATGTCGTCGGAACAGCACCCCTAACCGCCAGCGCACACACGAGCGCGGCCGTATTCACATCAACATGCGCGGCTGGGCGTTTTTGGGCTGCAGAAACCAAACGCATACACATGGTCGCCACCTCATCCTCAGACACAGCAGCGGCGTGCGCAATGCTGCCGGCGACCCGCAGCCACGCGCGTCCGAGCACGAGCGCATCGACCCCATCACCGCAACGGGCAGTGCGGAGACAGTCGCCGGCAAACCCAATGGTGGCGTCCAGCGACGGCAGCAGGGCCGCGTGGTGTGACAGCATGAGCCCAGCGGTGGTGAGGTGTCGCGAGATGCTCTGGGTCGATCGCTGCACATGTGTGTGCCGCAACCACGTGAGCCGTGGCGTGACGAGAAGCGACGAGTCTGCTGCATCAAGATTGCCAGCCATGGCCGTGGCGAGCGTCGTTGGCGCAGGGGCGTGTTTGCCCTCCTGCCACCGCACCAGCACGGATCGTGGCAGTTGGCTGGCCTCGTAAGCCAGGGCGCGAGTAATCAGCCCATCAGGTGCAGTGGCGACAGCAACTGCGTTGCCCAAGGCGAAGAGAGAGAGAGAGAGTGTGTGTGTGTGTGTGTGAGTACGCGTGTGAGTGCGTGAGTGAGTGTATGTGAGTGAGCGTGTGTGCATGAGTGCGTGCACATGTCATGTTTGTCTAAATGCGGTCGCATGCGCGTACATGCGTGCATGTGTGTAGGCGTTTGTCTGTGGGTGGAGGGTCAAGGTGCAGAGAAACACTCAAAACAACACAAACACAAAAGGCGTATGCCCGCACCAATGCTGTCGACGTCAGCGAGGATCTGCTGTGCCATTGCTGTGGACAGCGGCGCCCACAGCAATGGCGATGGCGACGACGATGATGGATGGAGGGGCCGGATGCAGCTGGGATGGAAGCGAGCAAGGTTGATGTACGCAGCGCGGCGAACGGACAAGGGCCTTGATGCCGCCGTCTTGTCCCTGTAAAGAACAGAAATGATAGAACGGGGTGGGGTGGGGTGTTGGGCATGAGCGACATTGTAACGTCACTGCACAACCAGCCGATTTCAACAATGACCACGACAATTCAGGCAATTATGTCCTGTCAACACATTCCCCACAGCAGGTACTGAGCATGCGGTGGACGCACCACAGCCAGTCCAGCGCAGCCCTTCGCTCCGGGTCGTCAAAGTCAGCGCTCTCCGGCTCATGTTCACTCGCTAGACAGAGATGAGATGACGACGATGATGATGAAGAAGAAGAAGATGATGATGATGAAGATGAAGATGATGATGATGATGATGGTGGTGGTGGTGGTGGTGGTGGTTGCGGTGGTGGTGGTGAGGTGTACGTACATAGAGAAGGGTGAAGCATGGGTTAAATGAGGTGGAATTCATCGAGTAGAAGGGGCATAGCTCAATCACGGTGCAAAGCGCCAACATCGCGAACATCTCACGTGAAAGCTCGTCGAAGCGGTTGTGCACAGCACCGAAGAGGTGGCAGGCGGCCGCGGTAGTGAGCGGGTGGTCACCGCAATCGTCCAGCCTTCAAGGTCACAAGGGGATGCATGAATGAGCGCAGAGGTAAAACTGAATGACGGAAAAAATTAAGCACACACATACACACACACACACACACACACACACACACACACACACACACACACACACACACACACACACACACACACACACACACACACACACACACACACACACACACACACACACACCACGATGAGAGGGCGCGGAGGGTTGAGCGTGGGTCGAGCCTGTCGGTGGTGCAGAGATTGGCGATGGATCGTAGCGCCATGGCCTGCACGCTCGGCTCGGGTCTGCCGCCACACAGTCGTCGGGAGTGACGGGCGGATGTGAAGGTAGGTGTAGTGGGCATAACAACAAGTGTGTGCGACAACGGTAATTGTGTGTGTGTGTGTGTTTGGTGACATCAGTAATTCCGTGTGGATAATGACAACAAGCGAGGGGGTGTTGCCCGTGACGATAGATGGCATGAGTGGAGCCAGAGCAGCAGGTGGATGAGACACATCAACCACAACCACACGTACGATTGAAGGTGCGCGTGTGCGACGGGAAGGAGCACTTGGACGCTCGGCCGTTGCGGATGCATTGTGAGCTGCAGACGCACACCCAGCACAATCGTGACGACATGCATGAGCAAAGTTAAACAAGAGGGTCTCGCAGCAGGCTTTAACACGTCCACACGTCCACACACACACACACACACACACACACACACACACACACACACACACACACACACATACACGCACACACATCACATCACATCACAGCTGCAAGCAGGCCAGTGCGCACCTTGACCAGGGCGTGTGCGCGTGCCAGTGTGTGGGTGAGGGGCGGCGTGGATTTCGCCGTCAGCGTCTCGTCAATCAGTAAGCGATACAAGGACGGGCGAAACTGCACAACACAATGTAAGTACAATGCAAGCACGCACACGTACACAAACACACATACAAGCACACGAGCGCAAGCACAGGATCAGCCACAGTGAGCGCATGAGACGCATGAGCGTGACATTCAATCCTAGGTGTGGCTCGCTGCGACCAGTTCACATATGGCAACCACAAGCCCACGCAAAGCAAGGCGTGTCAACGCAAGGCCAGGATTGCCGACATTTCTTCGCCGGATGACGACATTTGCAATTATCTCCAAAGGCACGACACCACCCCTGACCTGCAGATGGGCATCCGAGAGGGAATGGAGCATGCTGATTGCGAGCGGTTTGGTGAGGTCGTCTCTGGCAATGGACATGGCCACACGATGCGTGATGTGTGCAGCAGCCGTGGTAGTGCTCAGTGCAGGCAGCGTATGACACAACGCCACGCGCAAATGGGCACACGACGTGTGCTTGAGGGCAAAGCACGTGCACAGCATGTGCACGAGGTTTGAAGTGTTGGTGCTGGCTTGCTCGGGCCGCTGCTTGCTGCCACCCCCGCGCATTGCACGCGACGAGGCCTCCTCAGCGGCCCGCATGACACGTGTGGCATCAGCAGCAGCCAGAACACCGCACTCGCGCGCTGCAAAGCACAGCAGCACCGCACCGCCAACCCGGACGGATGGCGCGTGCTGCTTTGATGACGATGCCGGTGGCAGGACTGCAGCACCGGGCCATTTGTGGAGGAGCAAGACATCGCGAGCCATTTGTCCAGCACCACGCGCCACGGCGCCCTCCTCTACACCCGCACGCTGCTGCTGCTGCTGGTGTTGCTCGTGTGCGCGTGCGTGTGCGGTTGGGAGTGCAGTGGTGATGAGCGCCAGTCCACGCTGAACAATCTGCAGACGACACCACAGAGGCCAAGCGCCAATTCGGTGGTGAGCGGAATGGCTGTCAAAGTGGATCGCCAGCATGGGTGCGTGTGTGTTTGATTGTGACGCCGCGGTGCAAGGTGTAGGGTCTTTTTTTGTTGTTCTTTGGGTTTGTGTGTGTGTGTGTGTGTGTGTGTGTGTGTGTGTGTGTGTGTGTGTGTGTGTGTGTGTGTGTGTGTGTGTGTGCGTGTGTGTGTGTTGGAAGGGGTGCGACGGCACGATATCACCTTGGCCGCTGCCGACTGCACCGGTGCACGCTCGTGTGCCAGACCCTGCAGCAGAACAATGCACAATGTGCATGAGGGCTTGTGTGTACAACGGTGATGCCGTTCGCACGTGTGTGCATCCCCACAACGTGCGTGTGCAAAATGAGTGCATGCGGGCCACTCACGCGCGTGGCGGCAGCAATCATCATGGCCAGACACTCGATGCGGCCGAGGGAGGAGGAGAGCCACAGTGCGTCCACCCCACGGGCGAGAGATGCACACAAGTCCAGAGCCGGTGCAAGGCTGGACGGGTGACCTGGTGGCAACAAGCAAACGGAAGGCGGGCCACAGCAGTCGGATGAGAGAGGCCGCTACGGCGACGTGCGTGATGGTAGTGGCAAGTGCGCAACCACGACGACAAGGACGACCGCAACGCAGAAACGAAGATGCGCTGTGTGTATGCCTTCAAGCAAGTTGGCGCAGGACCGTACAGATGAGGAGCAGGGTGGATACAGCTTCGATGTCGCGTGCATCCACGGTCACGGTCGTGGTCGGCGTCACCTGCAGTCAGCAGTGGATATGGAGATCATGAGCTGCGCACGAGACGAATGGTCTTGATTGGATAGTTGTGCTAACGACCACATGCTTCCCACTCCTGCCCATGCCACTGCATATTGTCATGGAATACACACACACACATGTGCACGCACGTGTTGGAACAAGGCGGTGGGAATGTGGGTGCCACGTGGCAGTTGCGACAGCCACCGCAGCCCTGCAGGTGAGAGAGAGAGTGTGTGTGTGTGTGTGTGCAAGTGTGTGTGAGAGAGAGTGTGTGTGTGTGAGTGAGAGAGATAGTGAGCGTGTGTGAGAGAGTGTGTATGTATTAAGTGTGAATTGGGATAAGTGTCACCCAAGCAGGCAAAGGGGCAGAGTGTTGATGCGCAAACACAGGCACATAACGCCCAGTACACAAATGCAGACATGTGACGAAGATGGCATTCACACCTGCTTGCTGTATGCGAGGGTGCAGCAGGTCTCTAGTTTGCAGCGTCGAAAAGTGCGTGAGGATGGCGTGTATGTGCAGGAGCGCGCTGGGGTCGGCCTTCCATGAGAAGGCCATGTCACAGACGTGCTTGATCAATTCTTCACTAGTGTCGGGTGTCTCGTCGGGATGGGAGAGGATGGATGCACAGCACGCGCGCACAAACACTTCCCCCAGATCAAAGTACGCCTGCAAGCCAACCACATGCGAATCAGCGTGGAGATAAGTGTACACGTCAATGCACACACGAGGTTTTGGAGCACGGCCATGTTGGATCAAACGCAGTGGCGTGCAGTGATGTGGACTGACCGCTTCACCGGCACGGATGTACTTGTGGAAGATGATACGAAACATTGGCATCAGCGTGCCAAGAAGCATTGCTCTGCGTGCGTGCGTGTGTGTGTGTGGCATGGGATTACACATGCTCGTGTGTGTGTGTGCGTGGCATGGGATTGCACATGCTCGTGTGATGTGTGTGTGTGTGTGTGTGTGACAATGCGCATGCTCGTGTATGTGTGCGCGTGCAAGCGAGCCACGTCAGGCTTCCGTATGCGTGCAGTTCTGCAGTCAACGTTGAGCCAAGGTCCTGCCATTGCCAACACGTAAGACGTTGAAGCATGAGTTCTCCCTGCAAACATGCACTCACGGTGTTTGCTGGGCCAGTGGCGGGTAGAATGCTGACGCCAGGCTGCAGCGCTGCACAAACACGGCAGTCAGGGGGTGTGCCTCTGCCGCTGCATTCTCCGGCGAGCCATGACTGCTGCTCTGGTCGTCTGCGTGTGCATCTGCTTCGTCTTGTTGATCAGTCGTCAGGAAGCCTAGAACCGCGGACACGGCTGCCGACAGCTGCACTGGATCTGCCACTGCGGCCAGCCTTGAGCACAGTTCCTTGACTGCCGCATCCCTGGCTGCCTGCTTCTCGGCGTTGCTGGCGTGAACGCACGCCGGCATCGGCAATGCGGGCGGCCACCCCAGTGCCTCAAGCAGTGAGGCAGCTGTCGTCGTCATGCTGCCACCGTTGTTCATCGCGCAAAAATAATTTGCCTGTCAACGAAATGCAAAGAAGCGCCACACCCCGTTGAGTACAACCCACACGGCCAACGACCCACTCGAGCGCCACACCCCCTTTCGCTGTCTCAGCCCCTCGCAAGCAAACGCAGGTCTCTCTCTTGTATGTGGCCTCTGTTTCTTATGGTTCGTTATAATGAGGTCTTGAAGTCAATGAAGTACAGTCAGATTGTCACGGTACAGGAGAAGGAAGGGAGGGAGCAGCTGCGATTGATTGCAGTGCCATTGTCCTATTGTCTCATCTCGTCCACACACACACACACACACACACACACACACACACACACACAGGCGTGGGCTACGCTCGATGACAGCAGGCGATGACGCGATGCGCCAGATGGTGCAGGGCTTCGCTGGAAGGGAAGTTGAAGAGGGCGGCGCTGGCAACACCGCACGCGCGGCTATCGATGACGTCTGTGCCTGCTGCTGATGAGACATCATGCGGGCCGTGCGCAGACCGTTCCCCACCGCGCCGGGCCATGCGAAGCTCAAGGTCCCGCTGGACGCGGCATGCGTGCGGCATGAGACAAGCAAGCGCACGAAGCCCGTGCTCGTTGACATCGGCACTGCGCCTGTGCAGCTGAAGGGCCTCCAGCAGCGCCAAGGCGGCGGTTCGCGCCCACCTCGGCACAACCGTGGCGTACGCCGGGCTGAGCCAGGTGTCATTCTCGACTTCAATCTCGCTGCCAATGTCGCTGTCAACATCATCATCATCATCATCATCATCGTCTTCGTCCCGCGCAGCTGCGACAAGGGTAGCCATGCACTCGCTTGCAGTTGTCACGACGGCCGCGTCGTCGACGTGGTTCCACACGGCGTCCCTCACGGCGTCCAGGCCGCCCGCTTGGATGACGTCCAGGGCGCTGACAGTGCCCCTCCGCGTGAGCTCCGCGACCACCTTGCAGCCGGCATGCTGGATGCCGCTGCGCCGCGGGTGGCGCTCCATGGCAACGACCACAGCGGGCAGCCCACCCGTGTGCACGACACACGTGCGCAGCTCTGCGTGCGCACGCACTAGCACGTCCAGCAGCTGGCACGCGTACTTCTGCAACTTGGGGTCGCCAGGAAACTCCAACATCGCAGCCACGGCCACCGCGGGAAAGTCCAGCATCACCTTGTGCAGGATGCCGCTGAGGTCGAGCAGCGCCGCATCAACCGTTGCCGTGGTGCTGTACACGACATCCCCGCAGTAGAAGGCAGCCACATGCTTGAGGATGAAGCAGCCCAGCCGCTGGAGCAGGCGGCGACCAGGGTGCACGAGCATGACGGCTGTGATGACGTCGATGGTCGGGTAATCGGTGGTGAGATAGGGGACGGTGCGTGCTGCATTGCGGCGAATACAGGTCGCCAGTGCCTGCAGCGCGTTGACCAGGGCAAGAGGGTTTTGGACGGACTCATGAATGGCGCGAACAGCCGCGTGTATGTCCTGGCGGGCATTGGCTCGGTCAAGCCGCGTGTCACTGCTTGTGCTGGGCAGCGTAGCCACTGCCGCGATGGGCGTGGGCGGTGGTGTGAGGACAGCTGTCCGAGCGTGCATCGGCTCCGAGTGGCTGCCTCGCATGCTGGCCATGGACCCGAGACGAGCTGAGCTGCTGGCAACCCTAGCGACCTTCGAGCCAGCATCGCCCTCGTCGTCTGCGTCGTGGGCGCTGGCCGTGGCGAGGGATACATCGTCGTCGTCCTGGGTGCCATCTTCGTCATCGGACACGGCAATTGGCGCTTCCGGCGGCTCCTCGGTGTCGGTAGATGCCCCCAGGGAGGGGCCCAAGCCTGCGTCGTATCGGCGAGCAGTCCGTGCGTGGGGGCTTCGCTCCGTGTTTGCCGCCAGCTGTGCGAGGCCAGTGATGGTGTACAGGAGATGCTCTGGTGGTGAAGGGTCGCGATCACACGTCCAGATCAAGGTTCGGACTGGCATGAGTGAGAAGACACAGCGTGTTGCTGGGAATGAAAATTCCGGGCACATCTGGAGTAACACAACGGACTTCTTGGACTTGAAGATGAGCTGCAGCTCCTCATAGGTGTTGAAGACGGCGTCTGTCTTGGTGCCAAAGCTGGTGGTGCCCAGGATGATGATGAGATCTGCGCTGTGGATGGCATCGCGGGCACGCGCAGCGGCAGCTGGGTCGTTGCGGCGAGTCGGACTCAAAGTAACGCTGCTCGTTGGTGAGTACTCGAGCAAACCACACCGCAGTGCGTGCGCTTCGTCTGCAGCCTCCTTGGCACAGTAAGAGATGAAGGACGCCGGCGGACGGCTGTCGAAGGCGAAGGCATCAGCCATAATATTGTGTGTTGGTGAGTGAGGGGTTGGGGGTTGGGGTGACAACAGAGACGAAGAGGGAAAGAGGGCGTAGAAAAAAATGCCCTGTGATCCCCGCGATCCCGCAGAGCGCGGTGCTGCTTCCACAACCGACCCTATTGTTGTTCTCGTGAACGCTGCATGCCTGCATTTCTGTTTGTTGTTGTGTTCTGGCGTGGACCTCGGAGATTTCTCAGAATCCGTGCAGTTCAAGGAAAGCGCCTGCAACTGCAGTGATGTGACGTCATCATCGTGACACGACTTAACATCGCGGCTCAAACGTTTGGTTCGTGAAGATTGGCGCCCGTTGGGCACTGCGTGTGAAGCAGTTCACACCGCACTGGTACATTCGGGGCGGCATGGCATGACTTTGCACCCGCGAGGCCTCGAACACCGACTTGCAGTGGTTGCCGCAAGCTCGCAAGCACATGCAACCAAGCGAAGATGCGCTCACCACACCGAGGCAATACAACACGGTATTGCACTCGAATGCAATTCCAAGAAGCAAGTTCGCAACCTCGAGCCTAGCCAGCTGTCTCTCCACCACTGTTTGTGTTCACATAAATCGGGTACTTGACATGACCAAGTTTCGAGAGACACAAGCCACCGAGAAAAGAACCAGCAACGCACGTTTACTGCAACCCACACAAGAGGCAAGCAACAGCGGTGCAATGTGCACGCAGCAAGCAACCACGCACACATAACGTCGTCATTGACACACTCGAGCCACTCCTCCTCTCATTGTGTCTTGCAACTACAGACGACCGCCCTGATGCCTTGTAGCCTTGTTCTTCTTCCTCTGCCCCTGTACACCGTTACTCCGCGAAGATCCACCAACATCGCGAGTGCCCGGCCGTCGCGCTGTTGCTGCTCTTGCACCATCCTTCATCGCCTTCTTGTTCTTGGCCCCGCCCCTGCGCTTTCGACGCGTCTTCTTGCCCTTGCCCTTGCCCGTGCCGTGGTGGTCTGCCTTGGCTGGACTGGTGCCCTCCACCTGCTGAGCAGCGCCACTGCTGTGCTC